TTAATTTAAAAATTATTTTAATTCTTTTGTATATGAAAAAAATATAGTTATTTAAAAAAATTTAATATAAAAATATCTTATTTTTATACTACACAAATAACTTAGTTTAAATATAAAGATATCTATTTTATTTATAATTTAAAATTAAAATATTATCGATGATATAATAATATGATATCATTTATAAATATGTTTAGAATAATATTTATTCAAACATAAATAGTATATTATTATTACTTTTAAGTTTAATAAAAATATTATATTTATAATTAAATGTTAAGTATCTAATTTAAAATTTTAATAGATAATTAAATTTATAATTAAATTTTTTATTTTTTAATAAAATATACCGTATCATAAACTTTTCAGTCCGGATCAATACAAAAATATCACAAACTCTAACGTATCTTATAGGTGGAATTTGAATTAAATTATAATCTGTAAATGATAATTGAATTTGAATGAAATTGAACACAAATGATAAGATTTAAAAAAAAACCAATTTTCTATAAAATATATATATATATATATATATATATATATATATATATATATATATATATCAATAATTTTATATATACTTGATTTAACTTATACCTGATTCAACTTGAATTGACCTAAAGATCCAAAGTTGACCAAACAGAAAATAATTGATCGGATATTAATATGACATGAATATCAACTGATCCAATTTGATCCGACCCGAAATTAATCGATCCTATATTGACCCGACTTGATACTCGAACCGACCTGACTTACTATAGACCCAAATAAAACTGAAACCTGAAATGACCCGATCTAACTGGTACCTGACCCGACTTACTATAGACCAGAATAAAACCGAAACCTGAAATGATCCAACCTGACCCGAGTTAAGTCTAAACCGAAATAATCCGAACTAAAATGACCTAAACCGAACACGATTTGAATGACATTTTTGCCACCTCTAACTTCTAAACTAAATTCTCATTATTTTTTTAGCATGTCAATTTTATGATTAATCATTGATTAAATGCACTCATAAGGAATTATCGTAAATTTAATTTTTTTTAAGATAATATTGTTAAGAGAGATAATCATAAATCTCAAACTCGAGTGACCTAAATCAAGTCTACCAATTATTTTCAATGTAATCATTACCTGTGATTTTTCGCAAATATTCTAATACATCAAACATTGGTACAATGCACGTACCTTTTTTGAATAAAAAATAATGTTGAGGTCCTTAAATTTAAACATTTGAAAAAGGGATGGTCCCAAAACGGATAAAGGCTATCGCAAGCACATTTGAAAGAGCTGTAAATAATGAGACAATAGGAGCCAAACTATGAGCTGTTCAAGGCTTTTGCTTTGATTTAAATTGAATACTAACCTCCAATCAATACCATTCATGCTTGCAAGCTTTGCCTACTCAGTTGGGAATTCTAATGCTGTTGGATTTTTATTTTAAAAAGTATTGTATTACTTTATAACCTAATAATTTAAAAAAATCACCATCTAGTGAGAAATAATTATTATCTCAGGTAAAATTAAACTTCTTTTTCAATTTTAATGACAAAAATGACATGTTTGTAACAATAATTTAATTGACTGACTAAATTATAATTTTTAGAAAGAAAAAAAAAGATGGCATATTTGTAAATGAACTCCTAATTGATTGACTTGGAATGCAGTTTACCCTAAATTTAATTACTATTTTGTAGTAATTCAATAAAATTAATGACCCATTTTATATGTTTTGAAAGTTTAGTGATCAAAACAATCATTTGAGTATAGTTTAATGACCCCCTAATGTACTTTACCCTTAATTTTACTCTTATGCTAATCATCTAGTATTTTTTTTATTAGTGGGTGATTATAAGGTACCATATTATTAAATTGTAGTTGCAATGCAATGTAACAATCGTATCGTAATTTTTTTAAGGTCATCATGACACTTCAAATTGCAACCGTAACATAAAACGTAGTTATTTTTAGGAGGGAAATCACGTCGTAAAGTCCGCAACATCTGCAACCGCGACGAAAGTTGCAACCGTAATTTAGTACTATGTAAGGTACTATTTGTTCAAAATTTTATTAACCAATTGATAACATAAACACACTATGTAAATATAACTACTCGACTCTAGAAAGAATAATATTCTATTTGACCAAATATCACTAAAACCGTTTGATGGGTTTGTAGTCGTTTTTTTTATATAGTGCACGAGGCATCTAGGGTAACAAAACAAAGTGAGGAATAAAGGGAGCAATCATGGAGTTTGGAATAAATATGTAACCTTTTTTTATTCATGTCGGAGCCGATTTGCTTTAATTGGTCATTATTTTTTAACAAGAATAATCTGAATGATATAATAATACATGTTTTAGGGCTAATGTGAGTGTAATTATGGAACCCTAATTGCAATCCAGCAAGACAGCATATGCTAGATGATGGATTTATATAATATTAGCTCTCATCAATTATGGTCCATCATTGCTATATAATGATACGTTATTATTTTAATCATTTTCTTTTTACATGTGTTAAATTATATAATGCGATTTAATAATTAATCCATATTGTTTTAGGTCTCATCAATTATGGTCTAATTTAATCGTTTTTATCTTTATAATTAATCTATATTGTTTCTATAAAAGATAATTAATCCATATTGTCCTTGTCCAGTTTGCACTATGATAAAAATTAAAAAAAATTAAAGTATAAAAATTAAGGGTAAATTACACAAATGGTCCCTCGACTATAGTGCACTACATTGTTGAGTCCTTTGACTAATAAAACTTATAAATAGTTCTTCGACTATAGGACGATGCTTTGTGAGTCTCTCGTTATTAGAAGTTAAAAAATGATCACTTGACTATTTATAAGTTTCAAACTCGTCATTTTTTATTAAAAAATGGCGGCCTTCTGAGCGGGACGTCAACCTGCTAACTAGGATATGATAAAATCTGATTCTAAAATCGTTTGAGATTTATTTTATAAATCAAGTGTCCGTTTACAATATGTCTTTGAGTTAGTGCTTAAAAGCATCAACGGTGCCAGTATACATCATTAAAATATGAATTATCATATCACAATCAGTAAGTTAACGTCCAACTTAGACAACCATCAATATTTTAACAACAAAGGATGATTTTGGAATATATGAATAGTCGGATGACCATTTTATAACTTTTAATAGTCGGAGGAGTCTACAAAGTAACATCCAATAGTCCGGTGATCACTTAATAATTTTTAGTAGTTGAATGACTTAAAAAACAATGCTCTATAACCGGGGGACCATTTGTGCACTTTACCCAAAACGTAAACCCACAATTTATGGTTAGTACAAGGATTATTTAAAAAAAATTAACTTTTCTTTTTTTCTTTTATCAAATATTGGAGCCGCTGATAGCAATTAAAGCTGCAGTGTTATGCCATGAAAGCAACGTGACGAGTTTAACACATCTTTTTCTAATAATAGTAACAATTTTTCTTAATTTTGCTACTGAAAATCTGTGATTGTTGTTGACCATTTTAATTTGATTACAATTTTGTTTGAACTATAGTGAAATGGAAAGGAAATTAAAATTACATGGACAAAATTAAAAATTTAGAAACTTTGTTGTGAAATTATACTTATCAAATTCTTATAAATAATGAATTTATATTATAAAAAAATAAAATAAAATAAAAAAATATAACAAAATTATCGATAACTACATGTAATTTTACCAATGTCGAAACCCTAAACTCTATACTGCCCTAATCATCAACATTAAAAAATAAAATCACAGATTAAATGTTCCAACATTGGCTATATAATTTACAACACTTGACAATTTTCTTCATGCTAAAGTCAACAAATTGTCTTCAATGATGGACATTATAATCTTGAGTGAAGATTTTCCTTCAACCTCTCAACTTGTTTTTATTGGTATGTTCAATGGTTCGAGGGTTTAAAATAATGACAAAACTTATCCAAGAATTTGAAACGTGACGAGTGGTATATTCAAAAATATTTTTTAGGGTGAGTACATACATGTTAACATAACATTTTTAAATAAGATGAGTACAAATAAAATTTCAAGGTGGGTACTATTAGTAAAATAAGAAGCTAAGAAAAGAAAATTCAGATTTCAGAATGATCACGAAAAAATTCAAGATAAACACTATCAATAAAATAAATAATTAATCGAATAAAATTCAAATTTTAAGGTATACACGCAAGTTGTGGATCAGCCACTGAATGTGACGCATATAGATACAAAAAGACCATGCACAAAGGTCAAAACCAATGGTAGATCAGATATTGACAACAAAACCTAGTGTTCTCGTGACACTCTTAATTATTATTTTAAAGGCTATTCCCAATTTGAAAGGTAAGAAAATATCCGTTGAAACCAATAAGCATGTCCAAGTCAAGCTAAATCTTGTGGATAATAATTAATTTTAAACATTTATTTTTAACGAAAAATTCTTTAGGTATTAAAAATTAATTATGAGTAAAATTTATACACTTATTTTTATATTAAGTCTTTAAAATAATTTCTAAATAATTGTTCAATCCTTATTTATACGTAGGAAAGAAAGTAAGATTAACCTTAAAAAAATGAAATAAAAAAATGTTGGTCCATATAATAATTTTTTCAAATTGTGGGATGTAAGAAAGAATATTTAGGTACATAGCAAACGGTGAAAGGGTAAACGTTACAAAATAATTAGTGGTCCACCGTGGAACTAAAACACCGATTCCCCAATAACCGAGTTGTCATCCACCACCAATAAGCAAACAAATCATAGTGAAGGGACCCCTACCCTTTAGCTTATTTCCCTAGAAACACCATCATCGTACGTAGTTTCTCTCACAAAATTCCAAATCAAAACCACTTTTTTTTAAATTCTCTCTCTTTATTCATATACTTTGATTTCCATTTTTGCTAAAACCCAAGAAAAAAGTTTTCAAAATCACCCTTTCCCCAAAGGCTCAAAACAAAAGCTCCCAAACTTCCAGCTTTGATTCCTATTTTATGCTAAGCTGTCACCAGCTTTAGTTATTATTGCCTCACCTCCACACCAATCTCTCCTATATAAATCATCCTCTCCGAGTTATCTTCTTCAGCTTTTCTCTCATTCATTCTCTAATTTCCAGATATGGGTTCTTGTTCTGGTGTTGTTTCAATGGCTTTCATGGCCTGTCTGGTCATAAACTCTTTGGTATTCGTTGCCCATGGTGCTGACTTTTACCAGGATTTCGATCTAACGTGGGGTGACAAAAGGGGCAAGATTTTCAATGGTGGGAAGCTCTTGTCTTTGTCGCTGGACAGGGTTTCAGGGTCTGGTTTTCAATCCAAGAAAGATTACTTGTTCGGGAGAATCGATATGCAGCTCAAGCTCGTGGCTGGCAACTCGGCTGGCACGGTTACTGCTTATTATGTATGTTGACAACTTGACATATGTATGTATGCATGCATGCATGTGAAAAAGGAAGTGTTTTTAAATATTGTTGTCTTGTTTTGTTTGTTTGCAGCTGTCTTCTCAAGGGCCAACGCATGATGAGATCGACTTTGAATTCTTGGGGAATCTTAGTGGTGACCCCTACATCCTGCACACCAATGTCTTCACGCAAGGCAAAGGGAACAGAGAACAACAATTCTATCTATGGTTCGACCCAACAAGAAACTTCCACACATATTCCATCATTTGGAAGCCCCAACACATAATGTAAGAGCACCCCACACCCACCAATAATGTCTTTTTACCTAAAAAAAGAGCACGGTTGTTAATGTTGTTGCTGTTATGTTTTGTCAGTTTCTTGGTGGATAACATTCCCATCAGAGTATTCAAAAACGCCGAAGCTATTGGTGTACCGTTCCCCAAGAGCCAACCCATGAGGATATACTCGAGCCTGTGGAACGCCGACGATTGGGCCACGAGGGGCGGATTGGTGAAAACCGATTGGACAAAGGCACCCTTTACCGCATACTATAGGAACTTCAATGCCAAAGCTTGTGTGTGGTCGGGAACGGGTTCGTCGTGTGCCACGACGAAGTCGGTTTCCGACGGTGTATGGGAGACCAACGGGCTCGATGCACCGGGAAGACGGAGATTGAGATGGGTTCAAAAGTACTTCATGATTTACAACTATTGCACCGATTTGAAACGTTTCCCTCAAGGTGCTCCGGCCGAGTGTCACCACAGGTTCTGAAGAAGAATCAACGGAGGGTTTGGGGATGTAAAATAGTTTGATGGTTTGCATATTCTTTTATGCTTTCTTCTCTGTGTTCGAGTTGCACTCAACTTGATGCTTAGGGGTCGAATAAGTTGTTTTTATTCTTTGTTTTTTATGTATTTTCTTTCTTTCTTTTGTTGGTTTTAATTTAATCATCTTGTGAGGTCGAAACTAGCTGTAAATCCTCTGTTTCTGGTAATAAATTTTTTCTGTTTTGAATATGAAAATAACCCTGCAATTAAATGTATTTATATTGGTCATGTATCCAAAGACCGATGTGTAGCTTGTTGAAGTTGAAAATAGCTTTCCCCAAGCAATTCTTCCCCTGGCACATACGTTATCTCCCGTGACCAATGCTGGACTTTTGATCTCTTCTTTTTCCTCGTATTGGACAGGCTTCTTTATTAGAAAATTCCTTTTCAACTTCAACCCGACCTAATAAAAAGACTCAATTTGACACTACTCGAAACACAAACATAGTGAAAAAAATATGGGTAAACTATACGTGTGACCACCGAACTATGGTCATAAACTATTTTGACCATAAATGTTTGAAAACGATCAATCAAGCCACCAATTATTTAAATTGTTCAAGCTAATGTCTGTTAATTTTTAACATAGGTGATGACGTGACAGTTAATAAAATTGACATAATTATATATTTGGTCCTTATCAATTTAGTTACTATTTTAATCCAATTAAATAAATTTAGTCCTCCAATCCGGAGGTGTCATGTGTCACTATATAATTAGAGATTGAATTGAAATAATTTTAATATTTTCATGAAATAATTTTCTCACCAATCAAGTGGATACACGTGTCACCACTTGTTATATTAAATGAGAAAGAGCTTGCGCGTGGAATTAAACCAGGGACGTCGCTCGCCCCTGGTCATGCCCTTACCACTACCACTAGGCCAAACCACTCATTTGGTTTGAATTTGCACAAACTTTTATATATTGTATTTGAGGTTATTTCACACAACTTTTTATAAATTAACGGACATAAAGACTTTATTGAGCCATTTAAATAATTGGGTGGTATGATTGATCGTTTTCAAACGTTGGTGGTCAAAATAGTTTATGACCATAGTTCGGTTGTCACCCATGCAGTTTACCCAAAAAAATATCTATCCATATCAAACCTTTTTTCTATTAATTAATATGTGGTAAATACAAGATAATATCCATTTAAAGATAACTTTTAACTATTTGACATTGAACGCTCATATTCCTTGACATTGACATTCCTGGTGCTCAAACCTAAGATCTCAAGGAATAACAACAATTCTTTTACTACCGAGATCGTTTGGTCCATGCATCCATATTAAACCTAAATAAATTAAAATCCATCAAATACATATTTCTTTTACCTTCCCTAACTAATAAGGTAGTAGTCCATTAGGGTCAATAATATTATACATTTTTTATAATCATATATTCAAATGAACTTTAGCCCTAAATATTCAAATGATTATAATTAATTACAGATTTATTTCAGTAACAATGATAACATCTATCTCAACAAAAAATAAATTAAGTATGAATTCCAAGATATTTTTTCGTTTCCATTCCGTATATATATAAAAGAAAATATTGCATGAACCAAATGGTCTCTATGGTAAAGGAATGATTATCGTTCCTTGAGACTCGGGTTTGAGCATCGTAAACATCAGGGGTTTGAGCTTTCAATGTTAAAGGGTTGATAGTTATCTTAGAACATATAATGCATTGTACTTACCCAGATTAATAGAAAAAATAAAAGAAAAATATTTTCCAGCTCAAATTTAAAATCTAAATTATCATCACATCAAAAAAAATTAGAAAAAGAAAACTGATCAAACATATTCTTCAATAAACGAGTACTCCGGTGTGAGTCTGGGCAGCCATGGCCAGCTCGAAATGCCTCAACGGAATAGAAGGGAAAGCAATAAAATTACGGTCCATGGGGCTGAAATCTTGCCAGCCCTTTAACGGATTGTTGCTTGCGTTGGTCGTCGTCGTGGTCGTTCCATCCAATCCTATGTGTGTAACATGTTTCACATCTGTAGGATACCCGATTTTCATCTCCGCTGTCACTTCCTCTATCTCCTTGTAAACTGAAATTCGACGAAAAAATTATTGATAATCGTATCAGTTATCTATGTTCGACACATATTCGAATAGAGACATGAATTATAATCTTTGTATCAAACTTACCAAACAACTGAGAGAAACTTTTTACAGTAATCCTGACCAATCTGTGTATCCCACTGGAAATGTTGGGTTTTGAAAGACTGAACCAACCAAAAGAGTTCTTTGTTCTTCCCTTGGATGAACAATCTTCTCCCACTACATGTTTATATCAGACAAAACCCTAGATTAGATATATAAAAAAACGATAAAGATTTTTTTTTTTTTGCAGACAGAAACTGAGAGAGATGATCATACTTGTTGGATCTTGATCACTTGGTTCTGGTTCTGGTTTCCTCGGGGGACTTTTGCCAACTGCAACACTTGCCTGTGAAGAACAACCGGTGGAGAAAGGAAGAACAACAAGCCTTTCCATTCTCTCTTTCATCTCTTTCATTTTGGAAAGCAATCTACTTTTATCATCAACAAGAATGAGTATATGTTAGGGTTGGATTTTGGCTTTATCAACAAGCTCGAATGATTTTGGTACGACAAATGAAAACATTATTTTACGTCGATTTAATTAGTTATATTCATCGAAATCGATCAGATATGGTTGATTATATTATAACTCGATCGAAAACACGAATTATAGTTTTAATCTTGGGAAGTTAATCTACACTTGTCATCACATGGAGAGGGTATATGAAGAGAGAGAGGGAATGGGTAGGGTTGGGGTTTGTTATAAAGTGTGTTAAACTGTGCAACTCAACCTAATGGTTGCTTATATAAGCCTACTAAGAACACTTGTTCATCATTGTTTTAATGTGATGGCGGGATCAGTACACTTGTATTCCAAGCTACTGACTTTATTTTTTAATCTGAATCACAATTTTATTATAATATATGTTATTTTTCTTCTATCAGATAAAACTTATATACATCTTATAAACGACATTACTCGAATTCAAAAAACTGAAAGAAAATATATCATCTTATGCCAGTGAATTTGCTTCTTCCATTCATTTCAAAACCACTATTAATTGATCATTTTCACGCAATCAGTTTCACCCTCAAAATTGGACCGACCTAATTGGCATGATGGCATCAATCATAGAGTGAATCCCAAGTAACTTCACCATCAAATTCAATGATAGTCTCAAGTATTACTTAGTTTCAAATAAAGAAATAGAAATGTAGTCTATTAAGAGTTGATTAGTGTTAGATAACTAATTATAGTTCCCTATTAAATTACGGAATGTTTCTTTTTCACATTTAAGTGTTAATATTAAATATATTTGAACTTATTGACTTTAATAATAGGGTGTACTTTTAAATATCTATAAATTAACCTATTTCAAAACAAATTATAAATTAAGATTCGAGTCTCTTTAATAAATTTATTTACTATTATCGATAGTAAATAAATTTATTAAAATGTTCAAAAATCCGATACACAGACTTGTGAAGTTGTCGCCTCTCTGTTTCATAAACTTTAGAAGCATTTCCAATGAACGATAAAGTTGCATTCAGGTTCTTTACATTCGAGGGCCTGTCCATTGCAAAGACGACGGCACAACGTACATGGACGACTGCATGTCGATGTCGATATGGAAATTGTTCTCGATTTCGACGTCGATAATCACGATTAAATTCAATAAGTTTATTTCCGAGCTTCATATATGGGAGAACCCCAATAGCACATCGAATGTCAAACATTATTCTACTATTTCAGCAATCTTCATGGTAGCGGTTGTAGCTAAATCCATGGTATTCACGATAACAAGCATGGCAATACGAAAATTCATCAAGCAAATCTCCATGTGAGTTTGTAAGGGTAAGCAAGTGCTTGTGGAATGGATGTGGCATTGTTCTAAGCAATTCCGCACAATCTTTATGGAGAAAAAACTTACATTGATCACAACCATAAAAAGGAACTGAGATAGTCCGCATGCACCCATCACATTGGATGTCATCGTTGATCTCGCCAACTTTAAAAGTGAGTGTTAAATTGTGATCATGGTAAGCATGTTTAATCACACTTGCTACCATTTCCTCTCCAACACTTATATTTTCAACAACTTCAGTAATCAAGTTAGAAGATTCATCCAGAGTGCTCTCATCATAGTCTTCGGGGATAATTGTTCCATCCCTAATGGCAATTGGAAGAAAAACAACAGTAACTGCCATACCTCATATCAACGTCCTTGTAACAAATTCTGCATCTCAAGTCTGAAAATTGATTTTTCGGACAGAATATGAAAGAGAAATCACACGACGATGTCGAGTAAGCATGATCCTCCGTGGCAATGAAATGCACTTCTTTTGGACGAGAAGATTACATATGGTACAAAGATATGGGGAGTGATCTCCGGCAGTGCCACAAAACTCACACATAAATGACATCTTTCTTAACATAAGCATCCACGGGTGTTCATGACTAGGATGGGTGATTGTCGACAGTGAAAAAAATTGCTCAATTGAAAGATCAAAGTTGCAAAGAGAGCAAGAATAAACGAATCCTTTCCATTTAGTTCTGCACAAATTGCAACTACAGTTATCAGGATGAGTAGGTGGTTTTGGCAAGAGAATAAGAGGATGCTTAAGGTCATACGAGTGATTCATCTCAAGGTGTAGTTCACTGCATTCCTTATGAAGGTTAAAGCGTGACGGAAACGAACAATCGAAACAGTGGTAAATCGGACCAGAAAACGATTTCTTACATCCAGAAAAAAATCATATTTGACTTGGTCGTTATGGTTTTCAATGAAGAACAATGGATGAGGGTGCAAAGAATTAGGAAAATTTGCAGACATGGATGATTGAAGCAAAGAACAGTTGATGTGCAGATCGAATTGACAAGTAGCACAATGATAAACAAATCCCCGAGAATTCCCACCACATAAATTACACTCGTAACTACCAAGATAAGGTGATTTTGAAAGAAAAAAAAAGTGAGAGGGTGTTGGAGGTGGGAAGGATGGTTAAGCTGGGGTTCTAAGTCCAACTCGGCGCATACCATATGAAGATAAAACTTATATCCATTGGAGCCGTAGCTCCACCCCTCTACAGCTTCCTCACACAGAAAGCAATAGTCTTTTTTAACGTCAACAATCTAGTGTTGGAGCAAGAGCAAAGGATAGTCATGGCCGATATGTTGAAGCTCCATCTCTCCCTCTTTCCTGCTTTCAAACTCAATGGGATCCATTAGAAGAAGAAAAATGAAAGCTGCTTTACTAAGCTTTACTCTCAGGCTTGGTTGTTAATTAGCAGATACTTTGTTAGATGATGTTAAAACAAGAGAAGAAGCGATCTGATCATCCTTGTCCTGTGAAAATATTTGTTAAATGCAAGTGGATGAAGAATTGATTAGTGTTTAAATTATACATTATTTTATGATTAATTACTCCTTGATTAGATAATTTTAGTTGCTAACTTAGACCTTTTTATTTATTTTCAATGCATACATTGAATTTCAGAAATTATGCTAAGAACAACGAAATCGTACAATTTTTTATTTTTCTAAATTCTTGGCCGGATTAGTTGACACAACTTAGGACATGACACACCGACATGTCATCTAGTCAACGATTGATATGGCAGCTGACGTGGTGATGACATGGCAGCTGACGTGGTGATAATGTGGTAGCTAGCATGGCGATGACATGGCAGGTGACATGGTGCCCTAGCCGAATTTTTTATTTTAAATTAGGATTTATCTTTTTTTTATTTTTAGGAATTATCTTTTTGTTTTAAATATTATTTTCTAGGGTTTTTGAAGACTATAAATATCCCATTGGGGTAAGCCTCAGGACACATCACTTGAGCATTTAATCATTTTCGAACTCTCTTGTTTCTTTTATTTTAGATTTATAAAAGTTTTTTCCTTTTATTTTAATTTCAAGTTACTTTAATTTTCTTTCAAAATGCTAAGTATGGTTTCTACCATGTTTAGCTAAGTTTTCTATAGCCAAGGGCTAAAGTAATGACTCGATTTTAAGTCGTGAGAATCGAAAAGCGCTTCATACCCTAAAATGTTACATTTTCAGTTTTCGGAAATCAATGATCGAAATCGACCATCCTTTTTTAATCAAGGCGATGTCATTTCAAAAGTGCACGTTGAAATTGAATTTCAGTTTTGATTAACAGTTGGGAGGAAAGATCGGTCTGTGACACATTCGACTTCCTATGAATACACTTAGCGGCGATCCGATAAGGGAAACTGAAACCAGGTTATATTCTCAATTGAGATGATAAAATCCGAGTCGGGTTTTCCAGATTTTTAAAGCATTGAATTAATAAGTGATTGACTCTATTAACTCATAAAAAATCAAGATCTAAAGATAGATTTTAGATTCTCGATTCATTTGAGAGAAAAACAAGTTAAAGGGGTTGGCTCTATAGACTGTAACCGACGTTAGCCTTAAGGTAAAATCCTATTTGATGATCGATTTAAATCGAGATAAAAACTTTAGCCCAAGACTGATTTCTACCAATTGAATTTACCATTTTATTTTATTTCAATCAATTTTATTACTTTGCTTCAATTCTCCAAAATCTCCCTCTAATTTCTTTTACAAATCAGGTCTGAAGCCAGATCCAAAACAAGGAAATCATCAAACTACTAGTCCATGTGGATCGACCCTTACTCTTACTATTCTACTTATTATTATTTATCTTATTAGGATTAAGGCTATTTATTTTGACAACATAACGACGGTGTCAAGAATCTAAAACAAGCCCATTCAGAATGAAAGCAACCGTATAATAGATAATAGTTAACAAATCAACCCAAACAAAAAGATCCATATCAAATTACCTAAAATAGAAAACAAACAGAGCATAATTTTGAAGCAACGATTTCATTGTTGCAACAAATCATCGGTTGAAACAAAAACAACAAAATAGAAAAGCAGATGACAATCATGTGTTGTTACAATTCATGTTGGACCTAAACAAAGTACAAGTCCTTAAAACATTAATAAACATGATCAAAAAGCAAATATGAAACACAAAGGCCATAAGCCATTATTGCAAAATTTGATACAGACTTGTGAAGTTGTCACCTCTCTGTTTCATAAACATATGAGGAATTACGGCATCCCCAGTGGATGTTAAAGTTGCGCTGAGGTTCTTTACATTCGAGGGCCTGACCATTGCAAAGCTCACCACACACCTTACATGGAGGGCAATTCCAGATGTTTTTCACCAAAGTGAATCGAGGTCGACGTTCATGTCGATTGCAACGAATTCCGATTTTGTTTCCAACCTTTATGTATGGGAGATCCCCAATAGCACAATTGGAATGAAGAGAATTGTCGCAATCAGCACAGCAGTAGAACCAGTCATTTGGTCTTCTTTCATTCTCACAGAGATCACAGTAAAGTCTGGAAGGATCGGAATCATCAGAATAAGTCAGTGTAAGAGCATGTTTGTCGTACTTGTACCAAGCAGTGAGTGGTTGTGTTGCACAACCCATATCTAAAGTGAAATCACAATGGTTCGTACATCTATATGCAATATTGTCCCCGTTTAATTGAGTGAGACAACCGCTGCAACTCCCTGAAAAGTTGTGGACAAGAAAGAGTAAATGCTCGTGACTTGGATGCTTCAAGGTGTCCGATAATAACATGCATCGAACGTCAAACTTGATTCCACGGCCTATGCAATCTTGATGGTTGCATCTGTAGCTTAATCCTTGATATTCACGTTTACAAGCACCGGAACACGAATGAACAGTCATTCGATTTGTGATCGTAAGAGTAAGCAAGTGCTTGTGGAATGGATGTCGCTTTGTTCTAGGTAATTCAGCACAATCTTTATGAAGAAAAAACTTGCATTGATCACAACTGTAATAAGGAGTTGAGATAGGCCTCATGCACCCATCACATTGGCTGTCATCGTTGATCTCGCCGCTAAAAGCGAGTGTTAAATTGTGAATGTGGTAAGCATGTCTAATCACACTTGCTACCAATTGCTCTCCAATCATTATTTGTTTAAAAACGTAAGTAATCAAGTTTGTCTGTGCTTCCAAGGAGCTCTCGTTATAGTCAGCCGGGATGACTGTTCCATCCCAAATTGAAGGATGAGTTGCACAATTTACATGAGCAATATAATGGCAATTAGAAACAGAGCAACAGTAACAGCCATACCTCATATCAACTTCATTGTAACAAATTCTGCACGTCCAGTCTTCAACTCGATTTCGTCGAAGAGAATATGAAAGATAAATCCCATGCTGATGTCGAGTTATCAAGATGCCGCGTGGCAATGAAATGCACTTCTTGTGGACAAGAAGATTACATTCGGTACACAGATAGGGGGAGCCATCACCGGCAGTGCCACAGAAGTCACACAAAAATGACATTTTTCTGAATATAAGTCTCCATGGGTGATCATGACTCGCATCAGTGATCGTTGGTGAAACAAAATCACTAATTGAAAGATCAATGTTGCAAAGAGAGCAAGAATAAACAAATCCGTCCCATTTGATTTTGCACAAATCGCAACTACATTTCTCACGATGAGCAGGTGGTTTTGGCAAGAGAGTAAGAGGATGGTTAAGGTCGTATGAGTGATCAATCTCAAGGGATAGTTCGCCACATTTCTTATGAAGGTTAAAGTTTGATTCAGAGGAACAATGGGGGCAGTGGTAAATTGGACCGGATAATGATTTCTTACATCCGGAACAATCATATTTCACTTGGTCCTTATGGTTTTCAATGAAGAACAATGGGTGAGGGTGCAAAGAAACAGGAAAATTTGCAGACATTGATGATTGAAGCAAAGCACAGTTGAAGTGCAGAGTGAATCGACAAGTAGCACAATGATAAACAAATCCCCGATAATTCCTACCACACAAAGTACACTCGTGACTCCCTTGATAAGGTGATTTTGGGGAAAAAGTGATAGGGTGTTGGGGGTGGAAAGGATGGTTAAGCTGGGGTTGTAACTCTGACTCGGCGCATACCTTATGAATATAAACATCACATTCATTGCAGCTATAGCTCCAGCCCCTTACAGGTTTGCCACACAAAAGACAATAGCATACTTCGTCTTCTTCTTCACTTGCAACAAGCTGGAATAAGACCAAAGGATGGTCATGGCCGATATGCTGAAGCCCCCTCCGTTCATTTTTTCTGCTTTCAGACTTGATGGGATCCATTAAAAGAAGAAAAATGAAGACTGTCTCTCTATAGTAGAATACCTCCGGTGAGATCAAAGGCGGTGACACAGAGATATGGATAAGGATGGAGTGTTGGGGCAAACACTGGAGGAAAGTGTTCAATGCAAGTGGATGAATAATCCTTATTTGTTAAATGCAAGTGTTTCCATCAAGCTTCAGAAATGAATCGGAATAATTGTTAAACGCAAGTGGATGAATAATCCAAAAGCAAACCCAACAACTAAGAGCTAACAAATCAGCCCAAACAAAGATCCATACCAAATAATCAAAATTCATTTATCATTTTAGATAGGAGAAATGACATGTTTAGTACTAAACTACTAGTTTTGTTTTGTTTTAGTATCTAAGCTTTCATTTATTTCCAAATCATACCTGACGTTTACTTTTTATTTCATTTTAGTACCGACCGTTAAAAACTTAATTACATTGTATTTTTATGGGTAAATTACATTATTCAGTACCCAATTATCTCCTCACTCTTATTTTGATTACTAAAGTTTAAAAATTTTCAATTTAATTACTCAACTTTAAAATTGCTCATGTTTTAATCACTTTAATTTATTTTATTAATAAATTTTATTACATGAAATTTTTTATTATTAAAATAAAAAAATTAAATTTGAAAGTTAGAGTGATTAAATTAGGAGAAATTTGAAAGTTAAGTAATTAAAATTAAAAAACTTAAACTTTAGTGATAAAAAATAGGAGTGAGAAGATAGTTGAGTGATGAATGATGCAGTTTACCCATTAAAAGATGTCACGTACAACACTTCCGTTAAGTTGCTTCCGTTAAGTTTTTAACATCGAGGTATCAAAACAAAACAAAATAAGAAATAAATGTTAGGTATGATTTTGAAACAAACGAAAGTTTAGATATAAAACAAAAAAAATTTGATAGTTTAAATATTAAATGTGTAATTTACCCTATTAGATACTGGATCGGAATTATCAGAATAAGTCGGTCTAAAAATATGTCTTATACTTGTACCAAGCAATGAGTGGTAGTGTCGCACAAGGTATACCTAAAGTGAAATCACAACACTACGCATTTATATGCAATATTGTTCCTTGACTATAATTTAATGAGACAACCACTATAAGTAGAGGTGTTCAAATTCGAGTACTTGTATTTTTAGTTATTTGAAATTTTCGGGTCACAAAAAACTCGGCTTGTAAGAAAAAAGTACTAATATTTTTGGGTCATGAATACCGGTTAGTATTTAGTTTATTTTTTAATTTATATTAATATTTTTAAAAAAATACACAAAAACTTTAATTTAAAACTTAAACTTTTATAACAATTAAAATTTATAAATTCAGATGATATAATCTAAAAATATACACAATAAAATGAAATTATAAAATTACAACTAAATTTAAAATAATTTGAGAAAAATAAAGATTTATAATGTTATGGTGAATAATTTTAAAATTAGAAATGAAAAACTTAATTTAAAATAATAATAAAAATAAAATAAAAAGGGCAATTATTTGATCCGAACTCAACCCAGAAAATCGCAAAAATTATGGGTTGGATACCTAACCCACAAAATCATATATTTACCTTTAAAATACCCGATAATCTTATATTAGGTCGTTGGGTCAAATACTTTTGAACACCCTAATCACAACCCACCAAAGTTGTGGACAAGAAAAGGTAAATGTTCATGACTTGGATGATTCAAAGTGTCCGATAATAACATACATGGAATTGAATGTCAAAATTGATAAGGTGATTTTGTCAAAAATTATGCGGGGTCAAATGAAAATTATGAAAAAAGTTTGGATTCTAATTGAAATTTTCAAAAAATAAATTGAGAAGACAAAATTTTGAGACTAAAATGTAAATTTCCCTAACTGTTAACACGATCTATCTCACAATAAGATTTCTTATGACAAAACACAAAGCAGTAGTACAGCACAATAACAACCAAAGAGAAAAGCAGATGACATGTTTTGTACAATCGATGTCAAACCCATATGGGAATATGTAATGAGGTATGGAGAGGTAGGTAGCAACGTCATGTTGAGAGCAGCTTCCGTGAAAGACTTCCGACAGTTAGAATTATGAATTGCCCACGGTGGGACTCGATCTCACGACCACAAGGTTAGCAGCCTTGCACTCTACTAAAAAAGTGGTTAAACATAACCAAAAAAGCATATATGAAACACAAAGTTGCCAAAATCCATTTATGATTATAAGAATTATCCTAATTATATGTTTCATTTACACTTATGATTGTAAAATATTATCGTAATTTTGGATTTTTCTATTTTAATAAAACTAATGTTTTCTAATTGTTTTAAAAAATAAAAATATATCTAAAAAATAAAATCACCTTAAGATGTTTAAGTTTTTTGAAATTATTTAACTATTTTTTTAATCATTCGAATTCTATAAATCCAAACTTGAAATTCAAGTTAACTCGAATAATTTAATTCTAATAATTTTTTTTAAATACAATTAGTAGAAAAGCTCAACTAGGTGTCTAGTATCTTAATCGTCGACACGCTTATCATTTTCCGGTAGTGTAATCACTTCTTAATGTGGATCGTGAAAAATGTGAAGATTAAATAGAAGAGATCACATTATCTTCGCCGATCTATCAACGACTTCTTTCTCTCGTTGGAGCAACCGAATTGTATGTGGTATCATCAGAGATACCCTATCCATTAGATCAACTCGGAGAAGTATGTTATTCTTTAAGATTATGAATTTGAGCATCATAAATATTAGAGGTATGAGTGTTTAATATCAAATAGTTAAAAATTATCTTTGAACAAATATTACCTTATACTTACCTCAGATTAATAAAAATAAGGATTAACACAAATAAATATCTAAACTGTCTCGAAAAACATTTTAGTACCTAGAGAAATTTTCATTAAAAATAGATGTCTTAAGTTTCTAACGTTACAGTTTTAGGTGCATATCGTTACATTTTTTTAATAATAAAATAATTTTTTTAAATTATATTTTTATTTTTAAAAATAAAAAATTGAAAAAAATCACTTCTTTAGAAAAAAAAAGTAGGTCTCATCTCAACCTTACCTCTCACCCCATTCCCCTTCTCTCTCCCACTCCCTTTCAGTAGTTTTCCTGATCTGCTAAAATGGTGGAAAAAAATGACACAACCGACGAAGAAGGTCACTTATGGTCATCGCTATCGCTAGTCCCATTCTCCAATCTGAACCAACATGATTATTGAGATTAAATCCCAGCTAAATCTCTTACCCATTAACTTTAAGTTTAGAGATCGTAAGATATAGGGAGATTCAGACGATGATAAGAAACATAGATGATAATGGAAGTCCCACGAAAGGTGGGTCATCGTTTGATAACGGTGAAGGAGGTCGGTGATGGTCGACAACAGCCGATTGAGAGATGAAATAAAGGATTTTAGAGTTTTAAGGATTTGAATGGAAGATGTTAGACTTTTAGGATTTTTTGTAATTTCGAAAACTTTTTAGATTTTTTTTAAATTAATAATATTTTTTAATTTTAAGAAAACTTCAAAACATATATGCAGGCGACATGTGTATGATAATGACTAAATTTAACTATCACTACGTTCCAAGAACCTAAGAGTGTAACGTTGAAAACTTTAAACACATATTTTTATTGAAAAATTCTTTAGATACTAAAGCATATTTCGAGATATAGTTTAAATAATTATTTTATTTTGTATTAAACCTAAAAATACACTTGGAGAAGTAACATGAAATGCTTCCTTACAATCTATTCCTTGGAGTAAAAGATAAATCTATTTTGACCCATCCATAAGCTATATACTATCGATTCAAGTGCAAGCTCATTCTTCCGTCGAATAATTTAAGATTAAAAAAAATTAATTGAATCGAATTTTACTAACCGCAACTAATAACATAAATATAATAATTTTAAATTATAAAAAATTAGAAAAATAATAATTGTATAGCTTCACAGCACATAAATACTAGATATATGGAATATTAAAAAAAAGAGAAACGCGGTTATCCACAAAAGGGAAAAAAAGTAAGAATTAAATTTCATTATATGGAATTAGGTGAGCAACAGCTGTATCTTTTTGGTGGTATTCCCGTTTATTTATTTAAAAAATTTAAATACATTATATAAACTAATATATTTATTAAAAAATTTAAAATTATTTTTCCAAGAAATAATAAAATTATTAGGACACAAAATTATAAAACGAAATAATATTTTTTTTAAAAATCCGTTATATTAAATGAAAAATAAAATTTATTTAAAATTATTAAATATATATCCACACAATAAATCACGGCATAATTAATGGAAGATTCCTAGTCTTAAATTCGGTAAAACACGAAAGTCGTCTCATAAAAAGAATACAGCTATTTTCTTTAAATAGAAAAATACTAATTGAATAAATTAATAAATTAAATATATTATTTTTTTCAATATTATCAGAATTGGATCGATTAGTTAATTTAGAAATTAATAATTTAACTAATTTAGTCCATAATATATATATTAGACATAAAATGGTATTATAAATCGATAAATATAAAAAGTTAGAATAAAGAAGCTTTAAAAATCAGCTGAACATTTAAAAACTATATTTTATGTTATAAATGTAATTGAACTAAAGATATAATCGATCGAATCAAAATTGATAGTATAATTAATTTTGTTTTTATAAAGTTATTTATTTTCAAAATTAAAATTATAATATGTTTATAAAATATATACATATTATCGATATATTAAGAAAATTATGAATAAATATTTTATTATAATATGTGTTTCTTTAATTATGCATATATATAATTTGGGTAAATTACAAATTTTTGTAATTTAACTCTATTTTCTCTCCTATTTCACTCGTTGTACTTTAAAGTTTTTCAATTTTCTTGTTAAACTTAATACATTGAGTTTTTTTTTCTCTCAACCATTTCTTTACTAACAATGTTATAAATGGACTTTAGTATAGATGCAAAATAACACCATTTTGATGAAAATTTTATTCTTTAAAACTGTATCGATGTTAACATCGTTAACTATTTAACGGCGGAGTGACAAAAAATATATTAAGTTCAGTGAAAAATTGAATTTTTTTAAAGTTTAGTGAGTAAAATATAAAAGAGTAAAGTTTAGGGATGCAATGTGTAATTTACCCATATAATTTTCTCTTTCCCTCGCAGTTAAATAGCAACTCTTTATTTTGAAACGCTTTCTTCATTCTGTTTCTTTTCATTCCCGCAATGGAAAGCGCCAACCGCCGCAACTTCCTCCTCCCTTTTCTCCTCCTTTCCGCCGTCCTCGCCGCCGCAGATGACGGCGCTTCAATGTTGAAACTAGCTTCATCCTTCAGCCCACCTCCCACCGGGTGGTCTTCCACCACTTCAGACAACTACTGCAGCTGGTCAGGCATCAATTGTGACAAATCCAACCGCGTAACAGCCATCAACTTAGCTTCCAAATCCCTGACTGGTTCACTACCCCCGGACATCGCCACCTTGTCGGAACTCGTCACTGTATCTCTACAACGCAATTCCTTATCTGGGTCCGTCCCATCTTTCGCCAATCTCACGAAATTACAAACGATTTCCCTCGACGACAATGCGTTCACATCGGTCTCCCCGGACGCTTTCTTCGGGTTAACCAGTCTCCAAACGCTGAGTTTAAGTGAAAACACGAAGCTAAGTCCATGGACTTTCCCAGATTTGTCCCAATCGACGAGCCTCGTCCAAGTTCAGCTAGACAACACCAGCTTATACGGTACTTTACCCGATGTTTTCCAATCCTTGAGCAGTTTAGAAAGCATAAGGTTGTCGTACAACAATTTGAGCGGTACATTGCCGGCTTCTCTCGGCGGTTCGACGGTTAAGAATCTCTGGATCAACAATCAGATCGTTGGGTTCACAGGTACTTTAGATGTTTTATCCAGAATTCCACAGTTGTCTCAGGTTTGGGTTCATAAAAACATGTTCACCGGTCAGATCCCAGATTTGTCTAAATGTGTGGGGCTTTTCGATGTCCAGCTTAGAGAAAACCAGTTGACTGGGCCTGTCCCGGGATCTTTAATTAATCTTCCCAGTTTGAAGAATGTTTCATTGTCTAATAACAAATTGCAGGGTCCTTTCCCAAAGTTTCCTCCCTCAGTTGAGAGAATTGTTGTTAACGGGACCAATAATTTCTGTAATACTAATGGAAATCCTTGTGATCCTCAAGTTACCATATTGCTTGAGATTGCTGGTGGTTTTGGTTATCCAGTTTTTCTGTCAGATGATTGGTCAGGAAATGATGCTTGCCAATTTTCTTTTGTTACTTGTGATTCACAAAAGAATGTGATTACTGTGAATCTTGCGAAGAAAGGTTTGACGGGGACGATTTCTCCGGCTTTTGCGAATCTTACAAAGTTGAAGAACTTGAATCTGAATGACAATAACTTAACAGGTCCCATCCCTAATGGTTTGACTAAGTTGAGTAGTTTGCAGCTTATTGATGTGTCTAATAATAATCTTACCGGAGACATGCCGGGATTTTCATCTTCCGTGAAGTTTTCTTACACAGGGAATAGTTTACTAGGAAATTCGAACGGTTCTGGTGGTGGAGGACCTCCAGGTTCTGGGGGATCTAGAGGGGGTTCTTATGGTAACTCAAAAAACAGTGGCGATGGTAAGAATTCCATAGCTTTGATTGTCGGTATTGTGATCGGTGTATTGGTTTTCGTTGCTGTTGTTTGCTTTGTTTCTTATAAGTATGTGATGAACAAGAAATATGGGAAATTTGGTCAGATGAATGGCAATGCCAGTGATGCTGAGAAGGGGCCAGTTAAGAATGGGGTAATGGGTAAAGCAACAAACGGCTACGGAGGATTGCCTGGTGAAATGCAAAGCCAAAGTAGCAGTGATTATAGCGATCGCCATTTCTTTGAGGGTGGGAATGTTGCGATCTCGATACAAGTGCTAAGAGAGGTGACTGATAATTTCAATGAGGCTAATGTTTTAGGACGAGGGGGTTTCGGGATTGTGTATAAAGGTGAAATGCCTGATGGCACACGGATAGCTGTCAAGAGAATGGAGTGTGAAGAGAAAGGTACTAAAGGAATGAAAGAGTTTCAAGCTGAAATCGCGGTGCTTACAAAGGTTAGGCACAGGCATTTGGTTGCACTTTTGGGTTACTGTATTAATGGCAACGAGAGGCTCTTGGTTTATGAGTATATGCCTCAAGGTACCCTTAGTCAGCATCTCTTTGAATGGCGAGAAAAGGATTACGCTCCACTCACCTGGAAGCAAAGGGTCACCATTGCACTGGATGTCGCAAGGGGGGTCGAGTATTTGCACTCTTTGGCACAACAAAGTTTCATTCACCGCGATTTGAAGCCTTCCAACATACTACTCGGTGATGACATGAGGGCAAAGGTTGCGGATTTTGGCCTTGTTAAGAATGCACCTGACGGAAAGTACTCTCTGGAAACAAGACTAGCAGGAACATTTGGATATCTTGCTCCTGAATATGCTGGTAAGTTGATCCCTATCCGGAAATTTGTTGCGACTTTATATGATCTGCTTAGTTCTACATATTCTTTGACAAACTGCTTTAGGAAAATCAAAACTTCCAAAGTAATTTAGGTGTATCTTTGATTTTTCAATGCAACTGTAGGTGTGTTCCAATAACTTGAGTCTTTATGCTGATGCGTCAATAATCCGTTTTACATAAGATTTTACATTCATGTATTCATGTCATATTCGTGTTACGTTTTTTATGTTGTGCATGCCGTGTTTCACCTTATCGTCTTTTGCCTGGCTGTTCTCTTCGAAACATTGTCGTATCCTTGAATTTGCTCCCTAGGCCTCGGGCTTTTAGCCAACTGATGTTTACATGGATGCGAGAATATGATACTTCCATTTTATTGTGTGGTTAAATGTTAAATTTTTAAAATATATACTTCATTTTCTTTCAATCTCTATAGCGACCGGAAGGGTGACAACAAAGGTGGATGTGTATGCATTTGGAGTGGTGTTGATGGAGATAGTCACCGGCAGACAAGCTTTAGATGTAACCTTACCTGATGAGAAATCACATTTGGTCTCATGGTTCCGTAGGGTTCTAATCAACAAAGAAAACTTTCTGAAAATGGTCGATGAAACTATCAGCTGCGATGATGAGGAGACAATGGCGATGATCTTCAAGGTAGCCGAGTTGGCAGGTCACTGCACGGCTCGTGAGCCGTATCAGAGACCCGACATGGGGCATGCCGTTAACGTGCTCGGACCACTCGTCGAGCAATGGAAACCTACAACCCAAGTGGAAGACGGAAACTCGGGGATTGATCTTAACATGAGCCTGCCTCAGTTCCTACAGAAATGGCAAGCAGATGAAGGTACCTCAACAATGTTTGGTGATTTTTCCTATTCCGAAATCCAGTCAAGCATTCCCGCAAAGCCCTCGGGATTTTCGGCTACATTTAGCTCATCCGATGGCCGGTGATGGAAATACAATACCGGTCATGGTTTTTGAAGAGGTATGGGCTATTATATGAGATGATAGCTAAGAATGTCATGATCATACTATGTTTATCTTTGCTTTTCCTTTTGTTATGTTCAATGGAGCATTTACAAAGGAAAAAAATGGGTTTTTGGAGCATTTTGTTATGTACTTATGTGTAATGTTATGATCATATTCTTTAAATTTATAATTATTATTTTTTAAATTATGTTTGAACTATCTTTAAAGTATTTCTTATCCGGATTATATTTATTTGATATTAAAGCTCGTTTCGACGTATTAAGAGTTCTTGAACCGAATCGAACCGATCAAATCACAGTACAGATAATCCTATACATGAACAATTATATTACACTCTCTTGGTCAACTTATACCTAAAAAATAATAAAGAAAACATATATAATCAAGGTGACAAGAAGGCCCACCGTATGTAATAAGTACTTCATAATCTTTAGGGTTTTCATGTACATTTTCAACTACATAAAATCTTTGTTTCATGTCCTTTTTCTTGATTGTAATAAATTAAAGAAACTCAAAAAACATCATTGAACTAATGTCAGCTAATTCTCACTTAATTTACCCAAATTTTCCCACTTTATAAACCAATGAACTCTCTGAAGGGAAAATCCATCGCATTACAGAAGACAAAACCAGCTTGAATATATCAGCAATGGCGGCTCTTCTTGCAACAATCCTCTTGTCTTCTCTTCTTGTTGTCTACTGTAAGTCTTTCAATGTCGAAAATGCTGTCCTTTTTTCGAACAATTTGATTGAATTTAACCCTTTTTTTTCATGGTTGAACAGCGGCATATCTCGAGCAAGATCGGGTTGAACTATGGTCGGAAAGGGAACAATTTGCTGTCGCCTTATCGAACCATCGAGACCGTAAGATCGATGAATGCAGGCCGTATTAAACTCTATGATTCTGACCATGAAATATTGAAGCTTCTGTCAGGGACTAATATCCATGTATCTACTATGGTTCCGAATAATGACATAATCCGCATTGCTTCAAGCCAAGCAGCTGCTGAGCAATGGGTTCAAAGCAATGTCCTAGACTTTTACCCCGGCACGATGATCCGGTTCGTGTTAGTCGGCAACAAAGTCCTCAGCCACGACCCCAGGATTTGGCCGAGCCTTGTGCCTGCAATGCGTAGGATTAAGAATTCTCTGAATGCTCATGATATTAAGAATGTCAAGGTCAGTACTTCGTTGGCGATGGACATTTTGCAATCGACTTTTCCTCCATCGAGCGGTGAGTTTCGGTCCGATATTGTGGATGCGGTGGTGACACCGTTGCTGAGATTCTTGAATGCGACCAAATCGTTTTTTTTTTCATCGATGTTTACCCTTATGAAGCATGGTCTGCTAACTCAAGGAACATCAGCTTAGATTTTGCCCTTTTTAGAGGGAGAGCAAACCAAATTGACCATAACACAAGCTTAGTTTACACAAATCTGTTAGACCAAATGCTCGACTCGGTCATTTTCGCGATGAGAAAGCTCGGATACCCCGATATCGGGCTAGCAATCGGCGAAACAGGTTGGCCTAATGCAGGGGATATGGATCAAGTAGGGGCGAATATCAACAATGCAGCCACTTATAACCGAAAACTGGTTCAAAAAATGGCTACAAAGCCACCAATAGGGACCCCTGCTAGGCCTGGTGCAGTCATATCAACATTCATTTCTCCTTATATGACGAAAATAAAAAGCCAGGTCCGACAACCGAAAGGCATTGGGGCTTGCTACGTTTGAACGGAACACCGATTTACGATATCGATATCTCCTGGAAGCGACCTCTTTCCAGTTACGAACCACTGCCTGCAGCCAGAACCAACATGCCATATAGGGGTAAGCTTTGGTGTGAGGTGGCTCCTGGGGCTGATGCAGCGAACCTGTCGTCGGCGTTGTCGTATGCTTGCAGCCAAGGTAACCAGACTTGTGCCGCATTGAACCCTGGAAAACAGTGTTACGAGCCGGTATCGGTGTTTTGGCATGCAAGGTATGCATTTAGCTCATACTGGTCCAAGTTCCGAAAACAAGGTGCAACCTGCTACTTCAATGGCTTAGCCAGGCAGACCAGACGTAACCCAAGTGAGTTGACTCGATTATCTGATTATTACAAGCTTTGAATTTGATCTTAAATATCTGAAATTTGTTTCCTTTTCTATCAGGTCGTGGACAGTGCAATTTCCCTAGTGTGACTATCTGAAGATGAGGATATAAAGCTCAAGCTCTAACTTCCATCATGGAACTCAGACATAGAGGAGTGGATTACATATATACATAAACATACATACATGCATACATATATATATATATGCAAGAATATTGTTAACTGTTAAATTTGTAAGGGAATAACAGTGTTTTATGACATCTAATCAAAGAAATAAATGTATGTTTTACTGTGGTAAATGTTAAATATGCTTTGAAAGTGAATGAATTTATGTGAAATTAAAGAGTTTCTGCATGATGATATATGAAATACAAGACATTATGGGGTGGTACTCAAGTTATCTAGTTTAAATGATTCGATTTAAAGTATACAAAAGTTTAAGAATCAATTTAAAATTTGACCTATAATTTGGGGACTTTTGACGAATATACCCTACATTATAATCTATATGCAATTATTATGTTTGATAACAAATGCGTCATTATATCATAAAGTTATGGACATATCAATTAATTAAAATATTTATTTTAAACAGATCATTAGTCATTAAATATTAGACATAATGATACAATTTGATATAATACATATGCAAAACATATATACTAAAATCATAAATCTAATTAAAAATTTAAATATGATTTTTATTTACAAATTATTCTAATATTATTGTCTGATCCGAATTTGAATTAAATATTTATTATATATTCAAAATTAAAAAGAAAATAAATTTAAAATTTTAGTTTGTATATAAAATATTTAAATCAACACAAATATAGATCTAAATTTATTGAAAGTTAGATGAATAGTATCCCAATTCCTTAAAAAATAAGGGTAAAGTAGATAAATGGTCTCATGTAGGGGCGGACCTTATAGTTGCCCTGGGTATCCCAGACAATCCTCAAAATTGTCTACTTAGTGTTAATTTTTTTTAATTTTTTTAATTAATACAAGTGACACCCCTAATATTGTGTGTAACTGTTGCTCTCTATTATAGGAAAAAATTAATATTAAAAGAGTTTTTTTGTGCAACCTCTGAATTTTTGTCTTGAGTCCACCTCTGATCTCATGACTATAAGATATATTTTATTAAGTTCCCTAACTATTAAAAGCTATAAAATAGTCTTCCAATTATAGGGAGTTGTTTTGTTGAGTCACTTTACTATTAAAAATTATAAAATGATCACCTGAACTATATATTATGTTCCAAACTCATCCTTTCTTGTTAACAAATTAAAACTGTCTGAGTTGTATGTTAACTTGCTGACTGAGATTAAAAATGTAATTTTATAATCTCAAAAGACTATCACATCTCAGCCAAAATGTTAATATCTAACTTAGATGACCGTTAATTTTTTAATGGACAAGAAAAAAATTTGGAACATAATAAATAGTCGAGTGACTATATTTTAACTTTTAATAGTCGGTGGACTCAACAAAAATAAATCCCTATAATCAAGACACCAATTTATAATTCTTACTAATTAAAAGACTCAATAAAATAGTATCTTATAATCTGGGACCATTTTATTTTATCAAAAAAAAAAAAAAACTTAGTAAGAGTCATAGACTCATAGCCTAATCAAAATCAAGCTTAGAGGTTTATCCTAAACTCGACACGTGGACCAATTGGGTCCCATCTGTTAGGCAAAGATTGCTTGAGAAACCCAACTGCAAATCTTATCAAAACTACATGACACGTGTCAATATGAACACCGTCGATGATCCTTGCCACATCAGATAAAGAGTTGGGAATCTCTAGAATGACACGTAATATGGGGCCCACATTCAGACCAAAAGGCGAGAAAAAACAACAACATTTGACGTAATTCTAACTTCCAGTTACATATTATCAACCTCACAGTACTTGGATTAACACAGTTTCTCTGTTCTATTTAAAGACACTTGATTTTATGGAAAAAAAAGTGTAAGGAAAAAAAAAACGAGAGAAATCTGCAATGGGTGAAGAAAGTGAGTGTTGCAGAACAGCAGGACCATGTTATGGAACTCCATTGGAAGCCATGTCTGGTCCTAGAGAAGCTCTTCTTTATGTTACTTGTGTTTATAATGGTAAAATTCTCTTTTTTTTTTCATAATTTTTTGGTTTTTTTTCCTGGTTTGATGTTAAAGAAAATCTGGGAATTGAAAGGGTTGATGTATGTATGAAGGAACTGGAAGAGACAAGCCTGATTTCCTGGCAACGCTTGATGTAGATCCAAACTCACCCGCTTACTCAAGTCATACACAGGCTATTTATGCCGTATGTAGGTGATGAACTACATCACTCTGGGTGGAATGCTTGCAGCTCTTGCCATGGCAATCCCTCCGCCGATCGACGTTTCCTCATCCTGCCTTCATTGCTGTAAGTAGAGACAGACTCATAACTTTATGTTAGAGACGAACTTAGAGAATTCGAATTTTTAACGGATTTTCATGTTCATGTATGTGTAGTTGTGGTATAGACATGTTTTGAACGGTTTGTTTCAGGTCGGGCTGGATTTATGTGATCGATACGAAAACGTGTCCCAAGGCTCCGTCGTTGCATAAAGTGGTGCAGCCTGAGGATATTGTGAAGAAGACCAGCCTGGCTTATCCCTACACGCCTCACTGCCTTGCCTCCGGAGATATAATGATTTCGTGTCTCGGAGACAAAGATGGAAATGCCAAAGGGGACAGGATTCCAAATTCGATGTCAAAGGGAGGTAATTTGATGTACCGATAGAACAATTAAAGGGATGAATGGCGGTGAATTGGCTGTCACTTGTGATTGAATCATGCTGCTGTTGTGAATTGTGATTCTTCAGGTGGGAGAAACGGGAAATAGTCCTCCGTTCGGTTACGATTTCTGGTACCAAGTTGATATAAAACGATGATAAGCTCCTCGTGGGGTGCTCCTGCAGCCTTCACCAAAGGTTTTGATCTTCAGGATGTTGCGGATGGTCTGTATGGGAGACAT